CGCGTCTGACAGATTTCACAATTAAACAGATTGAGAGCTTTGGGGACTTGTCTTCAAAAAATCGAATTGAAATAAAACCGGAGTACAGCGTTATTTGAGGAAAGGAATTATGTTCTTATTGATAAAAATACAATTGGTTTTGAGAAAAATATTTATCTTTTAATGGGGTCATGCAGAAAGTGAAAGCAAAATAAGATTTGTTTTCCTCTCTCAGCATAAAATTGGCCAAAGTGTTGTGTCTGCTCTGTTACCAGCATCTACATCTGCATCTGGAGAGCAGAATAAAAACTTTTGTGTAATTTCTATGTGGGATTTGGATGTTGTTCTGTTTTTAAAAGCTGATCTGGATGTGGAGATGTGTCTGCTGTCACACAACTGCCAGCTCTCGCAGCCGTTCTGACGGGCTTCACTTTCTCTTGCTGTAAGAAATCAAGAGGCAGCTGGGGAGACTTAGGCACACAGTTATCTATTTTTTAAAGACTCAGATTTCGTTTCAAAAGTTCTTTTAGAAAAAAACACAGCATGCTGCACCGGGGTTACTTTCAACTGTGGGTAGATGAGAAGTTAAACATCCTTAATATCGCATTATGTAAAAACAAATTGACAAGATATTGCAAACTAATTGTGTATATTTTCAGCAACCAAAAATACTGAAGCCCTTCTAAAACACCAGTGCATGGCATATTTAATAGTACAAAGTTATTTTTAAAAGATTGAGACTAAATTGTAGAGAATTGCATGTTGTTGAATGCAGAGACCGGGGTGCACTAAAGCGTAGCATTACCAGGAGCGGTGGCTGGGAGCCGATAAATCTCTTGTTCTGGGAGTGTTCACTGCTTTTGGAAACAGCGATTTCCACTGTAATCCGTTACTGTTATGTTCCTGTAAACAGACTTCAGTGCTCAGGTTTTAGGGGAAGAAGCTCTTTCAAGCAAATGCTTGTGACATCTGTGATTTTTCTGTCATTAATTGTCCTGGTGGATCAGCCCAGTGCCTGCCGGTAACACATGGCTCTCGTCCGAGGAATCACATCTCCAAGTGATTTTCTGCTGTGGATGTTCAGTGTTATGGGCAAGAAGAGATGATTATTTCTCTCAGTGAGGGACACACCTGCCTCCCCAGAAACAACCGAATGCGGAGTGAGTGGAATTGTAATTTCAAATGTTCCAATATTTTAATATAGCAAAAGCAAATAAAACTTGGCCTGGAAATACCCTTTCATTAATTAGGTGGCCAAGCACACTTAAAAATGGTAAAGATTTGCCAATTTTAGGAATCTTGTTGTTTATCAGTGATTATTTTTCTCCTGCCACAAACCCCAGGGTTGCGCTCCCAAGGCTGCTGCCTCCTGTGCGGTCTGCTGGGACGCCTACAGTCTGCAGCTGAACTTAAAGTGTAACAGAATTGGTTATAGGGGCTGGAAATAAAACTCAGGTTGACAAAAGGAACTTGTGAAACTTGGGAAAAGCATGGCTGTCCCTGGGATGTGGGCAAAAAAGGGCAGTGTTGGGGGGGTGGTGGTGCTAGATCCTTCCCAAAACACAGCCTCAGTGTCACCCCCTGAAACCTTTCCGGGCTTAAAAAAATCAGAAAAACCTTGTAAAAATGGTTCGGTATTTTGAGCACTGGAGTATCACGATTCCTTCATCCTTCGCTGGAATCGTGCCACTGTTTATTTTTCTTGTTGTAGGGTCTTCTTTTGTTTTTTTTGTATGAGATCTCTAACAGTCCTCAGTAACTGGAGTTAACAAGATGGCAGTAGTTGGGGTAACCTTTCTGGGTTAAGACTGTCAAAAAATCTTCCTGAATTGGGTATAATTTGTAAGAGGAAGGTGGGATCATATCACACAGCAGTTTCTGACAAACCCTATTTCTAAAAGGTAAATCCTGTACATGCTGTGACACACTGTAAGGGTTTGTGCCATTACTGTAGTGCTTGGATTGAATTTAAAAAAAAAAAAAGGTAAAAGAAAAAAGAAGCTTCCCCAAAAAAGCAGCAGTTGAATTGAATACTCAATACACTGCCCCACAGCTCTGCCCTTAAGAGCCTGCCCAAGCCCTGGTTTATGCCCAAAATCAGCACCTGTGATCCCCTTGCCCACCTCACACAGACACACTCGTGGCTGTTGGTACCTTGGTTAACCCTCCTGAATGCTGAAACTGGCCTCCTCTCCCTCACAAATGCACTCTTTGGGCTGGGGCTGAAGTTGATGTGGATTCTTTGTGTCTCTGCTATTTCAGTGCTGAATTTTGTCTGCACATGTGCGGTGAGGGATCGCAGCAGAGCATGGGGAACCACTCGGGTTCATTAGTAGCATCCACGATCATTTCTGATGGAAAGGGGCCAGGCCTTGTCAGTGCCGGCTGCCACCGGCCTCCTAGGACCCTCGCTGCTCCCACGCAGGCTGGGGGCTCCTGCTGTGCTCCCCACATCCCCGCTGTGGCAGCCCCACTGTGTCCTTGCCATAGGCACTGATCCCACCGGGTACCGGGTGCTTGCCACACACCTCCCAGAGAGGAGGCTGCTGGAATTAAACAAGGATCAGCCCATACAAATGCACACGAGGTTTGAGAGCAACCTGTACAGCGCATCACTTCTGAGGGTTTCTAGTGGTATTTCAACATCTGACGCACTCGGTGGTCTCACAAGCTGATTTCTTTAATCTTGAGGCCTTGCCCCCTTCCCAAAGGGGGCCAATAGAGGAGACGCCTGCTCTTTCTCCTGCTTGCTCCATTTGTGCTGGCAGACATCAGCCAAGGACAGCCTCACCACAGCATCACACTGGACACCACTGCCACCCTGCAGGGACAAGACCGCAGTGGCCCCTCACCTTCCCATGCCCCAGCCAGGTGCCGAGGTATTTCCAGCCCCAAGACTGATCAAAGCAGCTGCAACAAACTGTTTGGGTTGTTAGCAGTGCAAACAAGCAACACAAAAGGCTCAAGTTTATTTTCTTTGGCATGCCTGCTACTGGAAACACAGCCTCACAGGCCTTTCAGCATCTATTTAAAGTTCCCTATTACTTTTCCCTTTGGCTGCCACCTAGTCAGTCAGATTTTTACAGTGGAATTAAAACGTCCCCAAGACGCAGGCTTATGTAATGGGAACAGCGGCAACTCCCTACCCATGCGAACTGAGAGTTACTGTACCAAATAAACGTTTCCTTCAGTCAGGGTCTTGTGTTGCAGCGTTAGGGATCACTCAGTCGTAAAAAGAAGGGCTCAGAATCCATTGCTGCTAAGGTTTACAAATTCATCATTTTACTGAAATAATACACTACCAGTATGGAGTGACTTTTCCAGTGGTACAATACAGGAATGCACAATCATTGCACTGTTTCATATTTAACATTTACTGCACGTCAGTGGTTCACAGCCTGGTAAGAACACCTGGCACTGGATGCGTGGCTTGATTTTCTGCCTGACAGCTGGAGCCAAGGCTTGGTGCTGGCCACATTGAATGGTAACAAGTGAGCTGACAAACCATCAGTATACAGAGCTGGATAAAACACACAGGAAAATAACCCCTAGCGGCTGTGGCCAAGGAAGCAGAACACATGAACAGAGTCAGGCACAGGGATGCAGCACCCAGGCTGGAGCCAGCGCAGGACAGCACCAGCTCGGTCCTTTCTGTTCCAGCTTCCAAGCCAGGTGCTGCTCCTCAGCTGATAGACACATGGCATTGTGCTGTTGTGAAAGCACCATCTGCATTGCTGCGTGCTGTTTTGCAGTTCCTACAGGGATTAAAAACCTTCAAGGATCACAACCCAGTTTTTAGTTTCTCTGCTCTCCAAAAACCAGAAGGCTTAAACCCAGCATTTGGAAGCAAAAGGGTTCCACAGAGACCATGGCCAAGGCTGTGGAAAACCAGCGATTGCTGTGGTCACTGACTGAGAGTAAGAGACTGTAAATTCAACAGTGCTGTTAAAAACCCAATCATTCTAGGGATTTGTTCTGTGCTGCTGTGGCGTTAAACCTGTTCTCAGTTCTGTTTAATTACCTCTTCTGGTGAATGTCAGTGAGAGTGTTACTACTTAGAACAGAGCAGTATTTGTATCTCTTACAAAGAGCATCACGTTACTCAGTTGCCATTTGCTTTCCAACGCCTCAGTCTATATTGTGATTCCAGCAAAGACATCGAGGTTGCTCTCTGTGTTGTCCTCAGGCTCCAAGTCCTCGCTGAGTCCCTCTGCAGCAGTGGGTAGCCCTGGCTCCCGAAAGTTCTTCCTCTTCCTTCTGCGCACGTACATGGAGCGGCTCCTCTCCCTCTCCGCAGCTGGCGAGCTGGTTGCGCTGCCGGCCGTTCCCAAAGCCAACTGCAAGCATTTGTAGAACCTAGAAAAAAAACCAATTGAGTAGTGGTTATTTTTATAGGTTTGCTCAGGATCTGCAAAACTACTCTGAGAAACTAATGCTTTTGTAATATAATTAAATGTGCTAAGGGGAGAGAGTCGTTACTAACATTGGGATGTTAGTAGAAAAATTAGCAGTATCAACACGGGTCCCTGTGTACGCCATGGCGCTTCTCTTTGCGGTGCCTGTGTGTTAAGACATCAGTGTATGTACTTGAGTGCCGTTAAGACCCTGTTAATCATACAGAAACCATAAAATGGTACCAGGTTAAATGTCTGATGAATGATGCCATTAGTGATCAGATGCACTGCTACCATTAGCAATTGCCTCTAACAACTACAGATTTTCAATGGACACAAAAAACAAATCGGTGCTGGTCCATGCAGGTGTCCTTGTCCCTTGTGCTCACTGGCTCCTCAGGACCCCAAGTGTGTGAGACCCTCCAGCCACTGCACACATCAGCACTTCTGGAAATGACACAAAGCCCTGAGTGGACTGAGTGTGCCCTGCAGTCGGGATATTCTGAATGGTCACTGAGTCAGAACAGCAAATGCTGTGATCATTAGAGAAAGAAATGGAAACCCTATGCAGTAACAGAGAGCTGGCAAACTCATGTCTATAGGCTTTTGCTTAAATAGTTTGTAGTCTGCAGAACTCAAAAAATTAATTGAAATTGTATTTTAGACTTTGAGACAGTTGTCTGTTTTTTTGTTGGTTTTTTTTTTTTTTTACATAACCTCTCTCACTTTTCGATTTGATGTTGTGGATAGGACGGGTGTACTCTTACAAACCTGTCAATCCTCCTTGCATTTTCTTCCATTTTCCGATTAGCTGTGTGTATCAGAAATTCAATATATTCTTCGGAGACCATCACTTTACCCTTGTGGCTCAATGGTACTTCTAAGCAATGAGTGCTCCGGACAGCCTAAAAACACACAGGATTTATCTGGAACAAAGTTTTTTATTTTATGTAGGTTATTTAAATAATATGGGGAGTTCATTACAGGCAAAACCCCCACTTATCTGCAAATCACTTGGTTTGCTCTCAACTAAAGCAGAAAGATGTTTCTTTGCTACAGCATGGCCTGTGATAGCTGTCGATCACATTACAGTTCATATCTTGGCTCATAAAAAAATCGAGGTTAATGGTAACGGTATGATTTTGTTACATTCCTTACAGTTAAGTAGAAAAGTCCTTACCATCATAATTTTTCCTCCTCTGCCCACCGTAATACCAGAGTTCCTGAACCCAGAATCAATCGCCACCGAATGCTGAAGATAAAATAAATGCCTTAAACAGGTCTTATACACTTTCACTGCAAGAAATAACTATGGTTGCATAATGCAGTTTATAATCTGAGTTTTGCAAGTGACTTATTCAAAACCATCTCTGCAAATTAAAGAAACAGTAGTTAACTACAATGTTTTCAAGCTGAAACCCACACAGTATTACAGATAGTGGCTAGCTGTCAAAGAACCAGAGACCATCCTGATGGTCTGGTGTTAATCCATCAGTGCAGGTGGATTCATGTCTCTCTGTAAACTGAATTATTTTATCCTGAAGAGCTGGTAACAGACAGTCATGCATCACTTTTATAGCTGAAAGTGCAGCAGTACCGTAAAAGGAGCTAATCAACTCTCTTCTGCATTAATGAGGGAACAAACCCATCACGTGTTACTCTCCAGAGCCATTCTGGAAAGGCAGGAGGCAAAGGTACCACTCAATTAATTGCAACACTGGCGTCAAACAGGCTGGCTGGTAGCAAAATGACGTGTAAAACCCATCGTTTCCAGCCAGCAAAAGCAACCCAGGCTCATGAGGAAAAACTTTTTTCCAGGCACCTGCTTCAGCTCAAACACTGAATTCTAGTTGGGTCATTTTGTTTTCCATAAAGTACAGCAAAATCTCCAAGTTCAAGCTGTGTTTTCTGCATCAGCTTATTTTTACTACCCCAATTATTAAACATACCGCACACCTGGGACTATTGTCAAGTGCTAAAACTTACTCAGGAGCCAATGATTGTACTTTTACAGCAAGGGCTATACCAGAACAGCGATGTGACGCCGTCACTTGGTGTGACTTTACCAGCAGCTGTGCATCCTGCAGCTCCTGACACAGCACGTGAAGAACAAACGGCTCGAACTTGAGCACAGCGTCACCAGTGGCTTTTGCTAGTGCTGTCATCTGGAAAATACACCAAAATATTTGTATTAATACTGCAAATGTGTACTCCTGCTACAAAAAAAAAATAATAGCCAGTCAGTGTGTGAAAAAAGCATTAGAAATGCAGCAAAGAAGTTCCAAGCGATGGGGTTTGTTTGGTTTTGGTTTTTCATTGCTCACAATATGTAGAAATCCCATGGATTTCCATGATTCTGTTTGCGACACTGATTTGATCTCACAGGAATTCGTAGCAAGATGGGCTTTACAAACTTTAAACAGTGCTCTTCCCTGTTGATTTCTTTGTCAAATCAATGAACGGTCAGCACGGCATTGCTTTACTGCAATCAGCTGAAAGCTGAGCACGGTTTTCAAATTTTTTTAAACTGTTCTTTAAAATCAAAGACATTTTGTTTCTGAAGTACATTCCTCAACTTCAGAAAACTTTGTGGTTCAGC